CGTCCTTCTCTGATAGGATCTGTGGGTTGCCTGGAGAACCACATGGCTTGGAAGATGCAGCACTCTGTGTTCTCCTAGTTGAGGACAGGGAAAGGTCCAAACCGGGTTATGGCTTTGTGCTACGTGGGATATATCAAATAAATGTTTCCACATTTAATAGAAGAAATTAACATTGCCTCTCAGTTGGGGTTAACAGAATAGGCTACGAAAACAGTTTGTAAGCCTATAGTAACCTGTGGTAACCAGTGGTGGTTTAAGGCAACTCATTTTAAGATGACAGCATAAAAGTTGTGAATCCTGTTGTTTTGGGAAAGTGGATGAGAGCTTTAAGTGTTGGCTTAAGAGGCTGGTTTTCCTGATCTAAAGTCTCCTGGTTCATAAAGTAGAACGGTAATTAGAAATGAAGGTGCCGTAATGAAAGCCCTTTCTGCTGTAACAGAATGACCTCTGGGAGGACATGTCCTGGCAGCCACTTTGGCAGCTTTTGGCTTTCAGAACAATTTGAATGAAAGACACTTTCTTTTTCTCCAGTTGCAATCTACCATTGAAAACACATTGTACTTTACTACATTTGCTGGAGTACTGAGTACTGTGAGGGTATAAAGTGTTGCAACTCTTATTTGCAGCACGTCAGAGATTAAGGAGGAGTTGTTGAATGTTTTCAAATTTAGCATCGGAAGCATTTCAGAGATGTGTCTATCATCCTTCAGAGTATCTTTCATATGCCTTATGGTAGTAAGTAGATGCTTATCATAAAATAAGACCAACCTTGTATGGCATATCCCACCATCAGATGATGTACATACACAAAACTAAAAATGGTTAGAACAATCCCTAGGGTTACCCAAGTTGTGAATGAGTATTGGGTACCATCTTGGCCTTACCATTAGTGAAGAAACACCTAGTCTTTTAACACAGTCACAAATGTTTCTGTGATCTGTACTTAAGTTGACTATTACTGTCATAATTGCAAAGTAATGTTGGTTATTAAGGAGGGAGAACTTAAATACCCTGTTCATGCTCTGTCATACATATAATTATGTCAGACATTGTTTTGAGCTTTGCGCAGTAATGTCCTGTGAATTGTCTGGACTTGGCAGCTAGCAGCTGTACTATGTCCAGTTATAACTGTATAGTATGATATTTTCTCTGATGCAGAGCCCTCCATTTCTCATTTTACTATCTAGGCTTATTTTCCTATAGCAGTAAGTTACATTGAGTATAAAAGAAAGCAGTCTTTCAAAACTAACTTCCCTTGTGCTTTCGTACAATCAATATTAAGAAATCTAATGTTGTAGTACATGCCGATGCAAACAGCGGCAAAGCGGAGACTTTGATATTTTAGATTAAAAGCTACTAGTTAACTCCAGTGGTGTAGGGCATATGCAGAGAGAAGATCATCCCTGTTTGAAATCTGTGTTTGAGAGCCCAATTCTGCAAATTTAGGATGCGTGTTGTGATACAAAATTACTTCTACAGTCATGTGATGAGCTTGCATTTTTAAATAGATGCTTCTTTACAGAATTGCATTCCAAATATGGTTATTTTTTAGAAAGTATGGAAATTGGAAAGAGTTATTAGTCCAGAACTGTCAACAGTAGTGAAGCAATCCTGTCTGTCCTTATTCTTGTTTTAATTGGCATTCTTCTCACAAGTGTGAGGCCTATATTGTTGGAAGACTCCTACTGATGGTGTGTAGAAAAAGATGTAAACACGAGTCCTTTAGAACTATGAAGTTGAGACTGTTAACAGGTTGTCGTTCATTTGGTTGGTTGTTTTTTTTTTTTTTTTAAATTGAGATGGAATACAGCCTTGAAAATAAACCACAATTTTCTAGATACTCTGATATCTAGGTATGAAACTAAAGTAACTGAGGAGCAGGGTATGAAAACTGCAGGCTTAACTGCCATAAGTATATCGAAACGGCCAATTCTTTTAATTGATTGAACAATAACATGACAGAAGACTTCTAATTTACATCACGTTGCTTCATAATTGCAGTTTGCCTACTGCATTTAATCTGAGATCTACAGTACTTTTATACGCGTGATCTGACACCATGTTTGACTAGATGTTAGCTCTCTAGCATCTGGAGATAGTAATGTTTGTTACTCATTTTGCACTTAAAAATTACTAAATAAGCCATAAAGGATGAGGAAAGCAGAATAGTTTTTTGGTAGCAACCCTATTTTGCTTTAGCAAAGTATGTTAGTACTAGAGAATTTTCCAAGTGCAGAGCTTGTTCAAAGCTTTGTAACTCCATTAAATAGGTTTTATATGGGTACAAGCTAAGGTAATTGCTTTCCATGTTAAAAGAGTTTTTAAAGCAGTATCCTTTTGTAGATGAATGTACAAGTAATATTATGTTTGAAATAGTTTTGGGAATTGTACTAATTGCACAAAATCCTGTAAATTACAATAATGTGCCCCATAATCTTCACTAGCTTTCCCCTTTTGCCCCAGATAAGGGGATAAAAATACTTCAGCATCCTCTTTTGCTTAGAGTTAAAATGGTTTAAGTCTTGCAGTGCTCTTAGTCTGAACTTTTTATGACCCAGTGTGTCTGAAGCTACAACTTCTACTTAATTCAAAACGCTTAACATAGGGCGATTAAGAATTGCTGAAAATTTGAATTCTTCCTTCCCTTGTGTTTTTATGCTCAAACAATCTTTACAAAGGGCTGTTTTTGGAGAGCAGAGTACAGTCTTTTGTTTCCAGATAAAATTGATGGCTGCAAATGAAAGAATAAAGAAGGCTCTCTATTCATGTCCCCTAGCCTTTGTTTCAGTGGGCATTGTTTCAGTTTATAAGAGCTGTTTAGTACATATAGATTGCTGGAAAGGCTGAAAGATTCCCAGGCGCATCAGTGTAGGCTTGTTCAAAATCCTACTATCTCCTCAGCTGCCCACTCAGGACCTTTTTGTTTCAAGGAAACCATGAAAGGCTATATTTTTTTTTTTTTTTCCTTCTCAATCACATTTGCTTTGAGGTCACCTTTTGTACAGTAGTATAAACAAGTCTTACTATTTCAAATTGTGGAAATGTTATCAAACCTGTGATTTAGTCTCTGAAGCTGAGGAAACTGGCAGTTGGGATGTAATTATTTTTGATTTACCATCTTTTTATCTTAAAAAGCATGTAAATGGACTGTTGGAGCTTAGCTACAGATCCAAGTTCCAGCTTTGCAGGTAACGTGGTCCCCTGGCAGCTTAAGCTCTTGCTTTGTGTTGGCTTTCTCTTTAGAGTCCTCATATAAACATTTTAAAGTATGTAAGTAATTGTAGATGAGATACCTGTGTAGTCCTTAATTCACAGTTAAACCCACGCCACAGTTTAAGTTAACTGGACACTTGATAATTACAAGTTCTCTTCCCTGAGTGCATACCTAGACATAGTGAGTTAAACTGGAGCTACTAAATTTTTATTTTAATTTTTTCTTTTCCTCGACAGTGTCAGTGTTGAGCTGCTTAGGACTGTGTTGGTGTAAGTTCAGTGCAGTATGTTGTGGCTCCCTCCTTGTGTTAGCGATAAAGTTATTCTCATAGGGGCTGGCATGCTGAGCTTGGCCACGACTGTCAGTGGAGATCTCGATTACACTGCTGCCCGACCCCTTTTCCCTGAGGAAACCCTTGTGGTTTGAGATGCTCCTATCCCACCTCCTCTCTAATGCTCTCTTTCGCTGAGGTTACTACGGTAAACAGTTATAACACCATCAGCTCCTTTCTCCACCCCTTTTTTTCTTTTTTCTGTAGGGCTTTCTTTGCCAAGTGTATGTAGAGGTGCTTACATGGCCTTGAGTAGGTCTGCTTGATGGAAGCCCATCTGGGGAAGTAAAAAGGAAAAATCTAATTTAAGTCTTCATCAGATTTAGGTATGATATAGCAGTACAGTTGCTCGTGCTGTCAAAGACCATATACTACATCTGGGCATGCACATTGATGGGCCTTTACTTGGCATGTAGGTGTGTTTGGGATTGTGCAAGGGCTCTTGCAATTTCTAGGATGTATCTGAGCCCAGGCTGACATGGGAGCTGGCCTCTGCCTTGTGCAGCGTGAAAGGGATTTTGCCATGTATGGTGACTTCGCCACGTGTAAGCTGGGCTGCTGTTTTGTGCAGCACTAAAAGACAAAAAGGATCCACTGAAAAGAAATCTTAGTTCTTTGCCACAGAAAATTGCATGTTTTGTTTTTCAAGTAGGCAACAAACTTTTCTGGAAACTAGCTTAGGCATCAGAAGTATCTTCTGAACATGGAACACTAAAGAAGAAACAAGTTTCCAAATACTGTATTATATTTCTTAATAAAAAGGCATTTATGAAATTCTTTAAGTACATGATTTGAGGGGAAACTTTCTTAACAAGTGAGAGAACAAACAGTTTCAGTGGATCCGCTCTTCCCTTTTGCAAATTTAATAATGAGCTGCTCTCCTTTTAACTTAACATCCTTTTGAAATAGAAGGAGATTGCATTGAAAACATTTGGCTTTATATGGTATCTGTTTGAATGCTAACGCAAATATAAGTTCTGCTAAGTTACTGCAAATGTAGCATTTTATCTTAGTTTACTTATTCTGGTGCAGCCTCACATAGAAATGCACTAAATAAAGCATTTTAAATCAAGAGGTTGAGGTCTTTGTCAAGTAATCCGCCAATGAAAAAGTTGCCGATGGGTTTTGCGCAACATTTATTTCCAGAGGAAGGAATGTTTTTGTTCCCTCTATAATTCCCCTTCAGTCTCGATGGCTGGTTTAGTGGAAATGCTCAGTTGTATGAAGAATCAAGATTGTGTATTATTTAGATTTTACCAGACAAGTGGGATTTGTTCCTTCCATTCCAGTTACCAGAAAGATTAACCCTTTGCCCTCACAGTCCTAATTGCAGCCGTTCAGAAACAGAGATGCTGCTTGTACAAGACAGTGGCAAAGTCGAGTGTGTGCCAACTGGAATGTTTCTCTGGTGAATGAGGGTGGTGAGAATTACATAAATTTTGTCTTGCTTTTCAGGCACCAATAAAAGCAACCTGTGAAGATATGTCATGCAAGACTGGATTTCCTGAAGATGTTCACAGTGCAGTGGTGTCAAGGAGTGTACATGGAGGACAGCCTCTTCTCAATGGTATGGTTAGAAAAGATGTTCTGATTTTTTTTTTTTTATTTCCTCTAGTTGTAATCATAAATCACTCTGGAACATTTTCATCCTTAAATAGGGCACAAACTCTTGCAGGGAAGAACATCAGCTGCTCTGTGATTATTTTTTGATTACTGTCATAGGACTTGGAAAATCTGTTGGCATCAGTGGTAGCGCATGCACCTCTGTTGACCATAATTTGAAAAATACTGAGCGTTGTGAACCTCCCTGTGATTGTCCACTAGTTCTCTGTCTCAGCACAGCATTCACACTGGTGTTTCTCGTTACCACTGATGACAGGCATGCCGTCAGTCTGTACTTAGAGCCCACGTGGGAATGATGAGGAGGTAAAGAAAACTTCCCTTCTGCTTTACATCTCCCACAGAAGTACTGCACTTAGAGCCAGTCCTAGTGCTCACATTAATGCAGAGGTAGGTCCCTCACGGCTTTTTCCCGGCAGCCTGAGGGAGGGGAGAGACACCTACAGAAGGGAAGACCCGGGGGAGCGCGGCTGCGGGTGAGCCCTCGGTCGGTGGCCGCGGCGCTGCGGGCGAGGAGCCGTGCCAGGAGAGGCAGGACGGTGTCTGGTGGAGGGTGCTCTGCGCTCTCGCCTTGGCACCTACCTGCGTCTGAGTGGCACGGTGCCCGGGCTGAGGAAGGCCCGCGGCGTGCTCGGCCAGCGCAGGCCCCTGCCTCCGCCGGGGATGCGCTGCGGCCGGTACGGCTGCCCGCGGGTCATCCAGGCGGGGAATTTGGTTCGCTGCTCTTCCTGTGTCTCTGTTTCTCAGGGGTAAGAGTAGTCATTGTAGGACAGGGGCACACGCTCTGAATCTTTCCAAGTTTTCCCGACCAGTCGGGTTTCAGTGTACAAGTTTGTGGAAAGAGAACATTTTAAAAAAACGTGCATTAATTTTGCTGTTTTCTGAACTGCTAACATAATCATTTTTTTTTTTTTTTTCCCCATCTAATTTGGAAATTGTGGAACTAAGGACATCAATTTTAGACTGTTTCAAATTTATCTTAAAGAAGGACTAATGTAATTTGTTGTTTCTTTCACATATAAGTATGGTTACACAGATCAAGACATTTAAATGAAAAAAATTTTAATGAGCCTGCAAAACAATTGAAGTGAAAGCTGTAGTCTTGATTTTACATGCTGTATTTAGCAGTCTCTCCTTAATTATATTTTACAGACCTGTTTTTAAAAGTATAATGGAAACTTGAATGCAGGATGAATTGATTAGCTTTAGTGTATTTAAACTTGAGTTATTAAAGCTTTTTCTGCTCATTTTCAAGGAAGTATGTTCTACTACCACAGACTTTTATTAAAGGATGGCTTAGAAATTCATGTATTAAAGTAAATGTTCTGCCAATTGAGAAAATAATAAAGAGGAAGGAGCGCTTTCCTACCATATGGGAGTTAATAGATGACACTACTATAGCCTCCTGCAGTAACCATTGGCACTGAGAATTCTTTTGGTAGGTGATGAACAAACCTGGAGAGAGGGACAGAGAGCACAGCAGGCAAGTGCTTTCCAAAGGTGCTACCTTGAAACCACCAATTGTTTGTTACTGGTTAATTATAATGCTGCCAGTTCATCTTAAAATGGAGACTGCACAAGTCTTGAGATCTACCCTGTCCGGTGAAAGTTCTATTCACTCTTCATGGAATTGAGACCCTTTCTGCAATTTCTCCCTCTTTTTTTTTTCCCACCAGCTAGGAACCACAGCGGACGGCCCACTAATTCTCTGTTGGAATTACCCTTGCAAATCTCGTGATAATGACTGACCAGCCTTAACTGAGTCTGAACGAGTAACATAGCATGGCAGACTGACTTCCTTTCTCATTACTCATCACATTCAAACAGTCCCTTCCCTTGCTTCTCAGGAGTGAGTGAAGTATAACTGTTGGGTTTGTCCTTGAATGGTATTAAGACGCATAGCATTTTAGGGAAGTAGGAATTGGAAAAACTGTATGAGGCATACAGTGTGTATCACGTCATATCAGCTGGTTGAAAAATGACCCGGGGGAGTTTTATTCCTACCACCGTTCCCTTAGCTGCATTACTGCAGTGGAAATTCAGACATGCTTAAAAGCATATAATTTGCTGGTTACACATAAACATACGGTCCGTCATTGCATAGCTTTGACTTATATTTCATTACACTGTCATTTGGAAATACTGTTGTTGTCAAAAGCCTGTTTTCTGGTTATTAAACTGGATTCAGATGACGCTGCAAGTTAAGTATAGTTGCGTGACATTTGCTTCTTAGGGATATGGGCCTGAATCTGATCTTGGTTGCCTTGCCTAACTGCATGCTTACACTAGTATGAATTCAGAAGTGAGACATGTAACTGTAGGTTTTCTGTATGGTTTAGAAGTCAAAGCTTTACTTCGGTGTTGTGCATTGATACCACAAGCACAGAGGCTTTATGGTCGTCTTGGCTAGCTGCAGAATAATTTGAACCTGACTTGATACTTTCTTAACAAGTTAATTCTTAAAATACTGATCAAGAAAATGACCTGTGTTTATTATCTGTCGTGTTCATTTGCTTTTATATTGCACAGTGGGGGACAAGCCTCTCTTGAGGACTTCAGTGTTCACCTTACCAAAACTTAAATAAAATTAAAGCTATCATATGACCTGTTGATCTGTGTCTTTCAGTTGTTACAGTAACATAGGATATCTGTTTTTTAAAGTATTACTGTATGAAATCTTTACCTTAGAGTATAGGGCAGGGTTCCACTACATGATACTGTATGTTTTCTGGAGAGGCTTCTCTTTATTTCTCTATTCAGGTGGTCCTTGTTTTTGAGGGAGGGTTGGACTTGTTCCTTTTGCATTTAAAAAAAAAAAAAAAAGTCTTTATAATTGATAATGGCTTTATTCATTCATGTTGCTAGGATAGTATGTCAGCATCTACTAATTTTTCGTTCTGTGCATGATGGCACAAGAGGCCACTACATGTTCAGTTGGTTTCCATGTATTAGGTTATCAAAATGTGTGAAAAATTGGTGGAGCAATATATTCAGAAGAACATAAATTGGAAAAGGGAACCCCCCACCCATTTATTAATGTGGGTAGAGGAAAATAAAAAGATAGCTGCCCTTGGTTTCAGGATGAGGAAACGGGCAATCCCTTGTAGGGAAAAGATGCAGTTAGTTGGGAAGTCACATCAAAAGAGGTTGGAAACTACTGCTTTAGTATGTCGTGACTAAGCTGTGTAGGAGGGAGCCGTGTCCTGTAGCCGCCTTCGGGCATGGTGTCACAGGTGTCCCCTGGTACAGGCTTCTCTGGTCATAGCCTTGGAGACTCTTCAAAACTGGTGTCTTCCACTTGTTCTTGCATGAAGTCTGGCAAGTCTCACTTGAAGATGCAGTAAGCTCAGGTCACTTGATACATGTAAGCTAAGTACTATAGGTCTAGTTTTGAATTTATTTATAATGTTTTACATGTTGTTCCACTTGGTACTAGTTACTTCAGTGAAATTACGGTGGTTTTTACAAATGAAGTAGGTGAGCTCCGGACTACTACCTTAATTTCTGTAAAGGGATGAAAAAGAAAGTAATACTTTATGAAACAAAAGAAACTTTATGCACCTCTAAAATGTGTCATAATAATAAAACAGTGTAGTTTTTTGGGCTGCCAGTTCTCTTAGAATTTATTATGCATTGTAGTAGTTCAGGACTTAATTGTTCCAGCATTTAAAAAGAGAAAATAAATTCTATGCAAATAACTCAGCAGCCATTACTTAGTGGGAGTAGATACCTAACACAAATTTACAGGCACAGTACTTAAAACTTGTTCCTGTAAATAGAATGTGATTACTGTTTGGAGGAGCATACATAAGATACTGTATTTGGAGAATAAGAGATTAAAGAGGGAGTTCCTTTTAATATATTAAATGCCCTTGCTTGCACTGGTTTTATCACAGCTTTGTAGTTCATCCAGGAGAAAGTATGTGTGGCAGTTTGATATGTATGTCCAGCCTGTTTATCTAATCTTTGTTCTATATCCTGCAAATTTTCAGATACAAATAATGCATTTCTTCTAAAATCATACACCTAGGAAGGTTACTTGAATGGTTATTTGAAATATCATATCTTAGAGATTCTTATTCTGATAATTTATTTTGCCAGTTTCTTACCTTTCAAAGACTTTAACAGTTTGTCCTGTTACTAAATGCATGATTTTAGTTTTCTGTTAAGCAACTTAATTGTCTAGACAATATTCTTCAATGTATCCTTCAAGCGTTGTGTAGCTATAAAATATTTCCAAGCTCTTTGAGCTCTTTGCACAGTGATAAAGTGTTTTGGTGTTGATCACCGAGATAAGTGGTGATTATGGATGAGTAACAGGGCAGTTTCATAAGCCAATTAAGCCAGAGCAAGCTGACAGCGTTGCCAAGAGAGGCAGGCTTACACCTTCTCTCCTCTTCGAGCCCGGTACCAAGTGCTCATGAAACCATAAAATGAGTGGGGTTAACCATTTTATCTGGGGTAGACTCTCACTCCTACTCCTTTAGGTTTTTGCTGAAAGATCTTGCATGCTTAAACAGAGCCATGGTGTCCCTGCTGCCTTTTCTCTTCTAGCAGTGAAATGCTTAGAAAATAATGTCTATTTTGATGTGTTTAAATTGAGCGACAACTTTATTTTTGCATTCCCACTGACTTCTTTTGTAGTTTACCATTGAAAATAGCAGTTGGTCTGAAACAGTCCAGAAGCGCATTGCTGGGATCGTGGTACTCTGAAATTGCCTGGCATTTAAAAGTAACTAATGCTTTTTTCATAACGTGGAAGGTTACATGGGTGCTGTCTGTCCCAGGTGAAGCCACTTGACTTTTTTGGCTGCTAGTGGGGTTTTATCATTCTGTGTATAAAAATACCCATCATCAGTTAAGAATAAAATTCCTTTTAAAAAAGTCATCATGCTTAAAACTGAAGTCAGCAGCATGTCTTTTATCTTTTAAGGCTTACGTCTCATT